ATTCAAAAAAAAAAGATAATTCGTAATAGAAAATTTTTTTTAGTAATGTTACCAGAATTAGGATTTAACGCTAATTTGTTAGTCGAAAACCCTAATTCTGAACTAAATCTTTTATTTCTATTTTTATTTTATTTACTTTATTTTTATATCTACATTTATTTATTCCTTATATTTTATTCTTATTTTATTTTTCATATTTGTATTATGTTTTTATTTTTATTCATATAATGTCGAAATTAGTTAGCTTTATTTAGAAATTAGCATCGTGGTTAGAATGTTACATCACAATTAAAGTGCAATATTGCGGCTAGAATGTTAGATTGCAATGAAGTTGTTACTAATTAATTTAATGGTATAAAAGAAGCTCAAATTCGACTTGCTTGTAAAATAACTTTGTAACTTTGTGATAGGTTAATTAGTTTCGACTAAGGAAAACTTGTTAATAACTTTGTGATAAGTTAATTAGTTTTGACTAAATAAAACTAAATAAATAAAATAGAAATATTTTATTTAAAACTTTTATCTTCTTTAACCAAAATTATTCGCTAATACCAAAATCAATTCATTGATCCTTATTCATTCTGATCCACCCAAAAACAAAAATAATTGTTATCACCAATTAAAAATACGCTCTCTCAAATTTAATCGGTGACAGTAATAAACAATAAAAAATTCAATTAATCAAATGCTAATAAATAATAGAATGATGCTTTTCTTAAAGTAAACAAATCAATGGTATGATATTCATCACACTAGCTAAATACTAAATGAAGAAAGATGCTTCACTGCCACCAAAAAAAAAGCATTCTTAGTAGCATATATGGTAACAAAAAACAATAATCAATCCAATTGTTGAAATTAAATAGCTTTACTTAAATGTAAAATAAACAAAATTTATCCTTACCAAACAGTTACTTTAGTTGGGTTGGAAAACAATTTTATTAATAAACATTTATCACATGGATAAAGGCATTTACAACAAAAATCACAGATCGATTTCAGAAAAATAAAAATAATTTTTTTTTTGAATTTATCACCCAGCAAAACCAAAAATTCTTTCCCAAAAATTAGATTTGCATTTTCGTTTGCTTAAGACTAATTAACACAAATAAAAAATTGAATACTCATCATGTTACTATTTCTTGCCAAAACTCTTAATTTTTTTTTGTAGATTTTTGAAATTGTTTCCATATTTTAATTAGATCTGCAATTTTTTTTATTCTGGCATATTAAAGTTTCATAGCAAAGGTTTAATTTCTTATAAACTTGCAGAGAAGAGATGAAGGATGGAGTGGCATAATGGGCATTCATTGATCTTTTTATATTGTGAAACAGGCTATATCAATTGAAGTTAGAATAGAAAATAGTCTCATGACTGTACACAAAAACCATTTATGAAACACAAATCTTTTATTCCATTACTAATACTCATCTTGGGGTAAGACATCCAATGGTGAACCATGTGACTCACTTAAATGTGTTATTAAAGTCCAGCAATAAAGTTGGTATCTGTAACTGTTTTCACATTTTCTGCAACTGCAGGCTTTAAAGCTCGAGTTGCAACCTTTTCTGCAACCTCTGCAACCCCTGAAAGTGCCTGCAACTTCTGTAACTGTTTGTAACTTCTGCAACCCCTGCAACTATAATTATGATGACTTAATATCAAAAATGGAATCACATAACTGCAAAATGAGATTTCTTGTTTTTAAATAAAATCATTGATAAAAATAAATTTAGTTTTATAGTGATTGAAGTAGCTGACCAACCAAAATTTTTAGACAATTACGGACAGTTGCAGACAGTTGCAGCAGATGTCAATATTTTTTTGGGTTGCAACCTCCTGAGTTGCAGCTTCCTAGTTGCAGAGCCATCTTTATCCAGCAAGTGAGAGAGTGGAACTCTTGCTGGTGACTCATGCTGGATGTATTGACCCTTTGTGACATGACCTCTCTCTTTTGTTTACTTTTATTATTTATTTTATTTAGAAGTAAAAATTTAAAAAAAGATAAAATTCATTAATTGATTTGATTGGTTACATTGGTAATATATGAATATCCCATCAATCAGAGCATAGTGTACATTCTTGTTGATCAAATGTGATTATTGAAAATTGATCTGCGTAATTGTCACAAATATATTGTGTAACAATCAATTTCAAATAATTTAAGATAGACGAGGTGTGAAAAAATTATATTATTGGTGACATTCTTTTTTACATAGATATGTTGCTTGCCTTCTCTATATGTTGGTGAAAATAAGATCCACAGAACCACCATTATTAGAAATTATTAATTTTCAAATTTTTAGAAATTATACAGATCATTTGACTTACAAAAATGTCCATGATAGAGAGAATCCATTATCATTATAGACAATAATTATTAGGGTAATATTATATACAGAAAGGTTCTTTTTATAAAATATACAGAACCTATATGACAAATAAGAATTAATTCTTAGAGTTGGTAAACACTCTGTAATTCCTGCCGCCTCCAGCCCACAAATTTAATCATCACATCGTTGATAGATGTCACATTGGTTTTACAAAAATCTTGAGCTACAATTTAGTATCCTTTTTTGTGGAATGAATTGCCATTTTTGTTTGGGTTCTGTATATTTCATAAAAAGAACCTTCTGTATAATATTTTTCTAATTATTATTATGCTTAAATTTTCCCAATCTGTTGTAGAGCAATCTCTGTTATAGAGAGATCTGCTACTATTATATTAATATTGTTAGAGGGAGTGAACAAATGGTATGTTGAAATACATTTATTAAAATGTACATATTTATTATTATTTGTTATTGTTATTATTTATTAGTAAAATAAGTATATTGATGTTATAATATACATCTACAACTAATTCTATAATCTATCTAATATATAAAAATTTATTTATTTAGTAAAATACAAATTTTCATAATGAAGTAAATAATCAACAATTTTCTTAACTTGGTGTTGTCAAGGTAGTGTGAGCATGCAATCCGAGTTTCCAATTCAATAGGTTGTTTATGTTCAACACACAGCCTACTCACTGACTTACAGTTGATTCCCTTGTATGACACACAGCCTACTCACTGACTTACAGTCAATTCCTTTATATGACACAACCTACTCACTGACTTACAGTAACTAGGTTAATTAGCTAATTATATCCCAAAGGCGTCCCCTTGAGATGTATCTGAATAATTAAGAGGGTTCCCAACTAATAATTAAAGGTTGGCCAGACCATTAATCATTAGAAGGGCTGGGGGTCAACCACACTGGGTTCAGTAGTTGATTGCAGTCAAAGACTATTTTATGTAAGGTTATTTATATATTCATTAAGAGTTATTATTATTATGTTGTTATCAAGGTTGTTATCAACAATATTAACAATTGATTAATTATTTTAACTTGGTCTAAAGCCAAGTGTATTTATACATTTTGGGGCAGTACAAATAACATGATGTGTGCTATTCTACTCTCCAATAATATGCTTATCAACTAATTACTAATTCTAAATAAATATTTACATCAGGTTAATAAATATAAATATAGAAATATGAATAGGGATAATTTTTCATGTGACACTGCACAATGTGCAGTGCAGCCATAGAAAGATGGTCACATCACATGACTTTCGTAGTAAATTCGTTCTAATTGGTCAATATTAACCGGGTAATTGTTAGGTCCAGGATTTACTATCTCACAGTAGTTATGGTTGCATCATTTATCATTTCATTACTTTAATTTTTTATAAATATTAAAAAGAAATATGTCATATATTTTAACATTTTAACATTTAGGTGAATATATTTTATCATTTTAATATTTAGACAAATATATTTTTTTCCATGTTGACTTGCATATTCAATGGTTGATTGTCAAGTTAATGATTATTAGGTATTATTTTTTTATTTATTTTTAATTTTTTATATAAATAAACATTAAAATGAAAATCCAACAAATTGGAACATTATTTTAACATTTAGATGAAATATGTTAAATTGCATATTCAATGATTGATTTGTGTTGTTTAGTCTACAGTTAAATGATGAATTATTGTTATACAACCATAAAAAAAAACCCCCCAATATCAACATCAACATCAACTAATACTATTATCTATTGTTCATTGTAAAAATAAATTCTAAATTGTAATTCATAAATTAAATAATTACTTGCTATATGTAAATTTTTTTTTGAAGCAGATGATAATGATTTTATTTTATTTTGACAATTTTTTAACAATCAAATGTGATTGACAAGAATGTCCAGTGTTAGAAATTCGACCACACCTTAACATAAAACTAGTCTAATTTTAGAAATTATCTGCAGTAGATTTTCAGATTTGGTTAGTGCGTGCCGATTTTGAATTTCTGATTGCTATCAACCACCAGTTGTTATATATAGCAAGCAACATTAAACAATAATATTAGTAGCAAACAACAACAATGAATCATCATTTTTTGAGGATGATAATAAAAGTTAAGATCCAATTTTGTTACATGAAATATTCAAACCTTTCAAAAAAAATGTGGGATGTTTGTCCTATTTATATGTTTTGAATTTAATAAATAGATAATTGTCTTGGCCTGAGTGATGTCATTTTTTTTGCTTTTTGTGATGAAGAAAACCCAACTTAACTTTTGATGCTAAAATAAATGAATTTTTGATCTAGTGTTGCACAGCAAAGTAATCATGTAACACATAAAAAAGCAAAAGCTCGCATTGCATTCTCAGTTATAAGCTTGTTATTATATTGTAATTTGTTTTTAGTTTATTTTACAAGTATTGCAATGAAATGATTTTTTATTTATAGTAAATTTTATTATAATAACTAGAGTTAGTTACAAATAAGAAAGTTTATACCACCTTTATAAAAAATTTAATTTTGATTTAATTTTGCCAGTGGCCAATTAATATGCATTTCTTTTTTTGCAATTTTCTCATCAATCTATTAATTGAACATTTTCTCTGAACAAGCACACTATTCAAACTCAAATCCCAAATACAATCATATTAATAGAATATAATCATTTTCATTAAAATTCATATCATGTAATATTTGATCAATTGAAATCATCATATTAATTGGTCCACACACAAAAATTTTACTATTAGGTCTACTACTTATGGAATCAAATCTTCCCTCCATCTGAACTTTTTGTAAATTATTATCATTATCATTATTACAATTGTAAATATCAGTGACTAAATTTAATCTTGGGGGTGGCTTATGAATTTTTCTATTCAATGAGAAACTTGATTGTTTCAAGAAATTTGATGATGTTGCTGTTGCTGTTGGTTGAACAGATGACAATGCTTCTACTGCTGCTGCTGGTGAAGGTGATGAAAGTGATGGAATTGATGAAATTGATAAAGAGGATGAAGATGATTGTAAGCCAAAGGATGAATCGTTATTGTAATTATCTAATGGGTTTTTTGATAAATCTCCTGTAAATGTCTCTTTTCCACTCTCCCATCCCCTCCCCACCTTTTGTTCTATTTCCTTTTCATTAATAATTGTATTTTTGAACCAATTTTCTAAAATATCCTTATCAACTTTTCCTTCCAACCCTGATTTCCTTATCCTTTGTAATTCTTCCTCTTCCTCTCCCTCTTCACTATTACTAGCAGAAAAGTTATCAGGTAGTTTATCAAATATATATGTAATTGACAATACATCATCAATATTTGTGTTATCATTAGTATTATTGTTATTAAGTGAATGATAATAGCAATCTTTTAAATTTACTATTGAATCATCAACAGATTTATTGGCATATATTAAATGCATTGATAATTTACTATTATTATTGTTAAAATTATAATGTTTTAAATGATATTTTATTAACTAAAAAAAATATAAATTAATTAGAAATAAAATTTACCAAATTAATGCTTGAATTAATTAAAAAACATATTCATTACCTGAATCATTGGTGTAATTCCAGTTCCTCCACATATCATATATAAATTATCCCAACATTT